ATCTAATGCCGTGAGTGCAAGCAGATCTTAACAACTGCAAAGGTCAATATTTGATTATAGCATCCTAGTAAAATCAAATCTTTTGGTTGACAAACCTACCCAATTGCAGTCAAGTTCCCCCACTAAACATCCCGGACTTGGTGGAAAATCTTGTAGATTTGTCCACAGGTTATGTACCCAGCTAATCAGACAAAATTATTCTACAAGCATGAATGATTGGAGGTGGAAAGAAGTTACAAACAATTGGTCACAGAGTAAAGAAGATTAATTAAAAAAAATTTGAAAAAATCAACCATTTGAAATTATCAAGCTTCTTTAGTAAGATAATTAAATTAGTTCAGTTAAAATAATATTGATCCTGTATTACCTACTGCTTCCATCGTAGCTCAATCCTTAGTTTATTTATATCTTTCAAAAAATAAGCCTATAATACTATTCTTTTACGTAAATAGACAGTCACGACTTTTTGTTCAGGAAGATCATCAGATAACTTATCTTCCAGTTTCTTAGCTCATCAAGTTTTGAACGAAATATTTATTGCTAATCCTAAAGAAACAAAATCATTTATTTATAGACAACATTCCAGTCCAAAAAATATTAGATCATGGGAATTGGTAACGTGTAGAAGTATTTAGAAACCCTTACTACAAAGAAGTTTATAAAGATAGTTGCAATTAACTTTTAGTATAAAAAAATTTTAATCCTGTGTAAGGAAATATGTTCTGTATTAAAGTTATTTTACGTTATTCCGTTTAGTATATTATTTTAATAAATGTTAGAAAACATAAAGTAATTCTTATATCACATAGCAGTGGCGTTTCATCCACTCTATAGCAAACATTTCTCATAAGGATGCCGTATATTCGGCCAAGTGTATAAAGTAAGTGTTCTGCACTTATAAAAAATACGTATTATTTGTGAATGCTGATACATGGTATCCTAACAAGAATTTTACATGATGAGTACTCCGTGAAGTTAGACGTAATTGGTAAAGCAATGACGATCTCTTGCGACAAAAAACTTGATGGCTTCTCTCATAAGGATGCCGTACATTAGTATTTGCATGTAATACGTCTTTTGTATTAGTTCAAAATACTTGCATCATTTTATGATTTGATCATTCTTGGGTGGTTTCCTCAGAATCAGTATTTTTTACGTTTATTTAATCATACACGCATATATCTCAGCAGTATGTATTAAAGAAACTAGAGTTCTCATTTCAAGTAATAACTTCATTTTATTTTAAGTGTGTAAATTTTTTTTTACAATATTAAAACGGTACAAGAATAAAATTGGTTTTCCATGGATGATAACAAGAACTGGATGAAAAGTGTTGCCAAGTAAAGACAGATAACATGCAGAGATATATTTTGCATATGAGCTTACCTGTCTCTGTTTCTTTTTTGTGGAATTAGTTGTAATTTTTTCAGCTTATTTTTCAGCTGTGTTTATCATGCATGATTCACGCAGCTAATTGATATCTTCGTCAAATCTCCCTCTTACGACTTCATAATAATATCTGAAATTTTTCTTTATCGTTATTGGCTGTAATATAGACAAAAACTAATGATACAACATTTTTCTAGCCATCATTGTATCATATCTTAGAAATTAAGTAAAGCTCAATTAACAGTTCAAATTTCTGATTCTTGTATTTTCCATCATTTATTTTCTTTTTGTACAAAACAAAATTTATAATATTTACAAAGTATAAATATCTGCACTTTGGCATTGTGCTACTATTATTCGAAAAATCATCTTAGTCATCTTTGGTGAAAAGAAACTTAATTTAACTTCCACGCTCAACTCACAGAGACAAAAAAAACTCGAAGTGTCTAACTTTTAACTTTTGCTATAACATTGTATGGTTGCATCACTCTGTTGTGCTAACTCTGTTAGCAAGTGATCTTACATTTTTCTTTGATTAAATAAAAGTATGTACACGATATAAATTTATTTCCTACACATAAAATAATAAGCCAGTCTTTTTTACAAGCACAATCACACCATAAAAGTGGAAATATTTTTTTAATCTTATACAAAACGTATACATTTTCTGGCAAAAATTTCTTAAACCCTTAGGTACCTTAATAAGCATGAAATTATTTTAAAAAACTGTATTATATCCATATCTCGTTCATGTAGGCAATGGACACGAATATTCTGAGTTATACTGTAATACCTTTCTTGCCATAAAAAAAAGAAATATTCTTTTTCCTGTTTTTGGTATTTTTTTTCATCTTCAGGTAATTACTGCAAACTCATGAAAACAAACAGTGCGTACCCAGTGTAAATCCAACCAAGGCAAGCACAAAGAGCATCTCCAGTCTGGTGCTTACCCAGGTGGCATACGCCACCAGGTACGAAAATTATTTTGTATGAAGCATTTGTCAGAAATGACATGTAAATTTGGTAATTGTACATCCTGTTAGTTAGTACCAATATAATTTTTTGTAACTTTTTCGAAAGTATGGTACGAATTGATTAATTTGATGAGCATTACTTGTTCAACTCCCTTTCAGTGCCAAATAAAATTAATAACTTATAACTACATCAAGTACATTTCTTAAAACATGAAAATCGATTTATAAAAATTTTAACAAAATTATTATCAGTGGCAACATAAGATCAGCATTCTTTATTAGCATGGTTATACTTTTTGAATGTTCTGTAAACTATTTCACTTGTTGTATTATTTGTTTTTTCCAATTTGAAATCATGAGATATTTAACTCCTTAATTATGTAGTGACTAAGAGAACAGTATGGCATTCAATCACATTAACACTAACAGAGAAACTTCTTTGTAGTGTAGTTAAAAGTTTTAGAAACAATATGATAATGCTAACATAATCTAGCAGTTATAAGTAAGTTGCTGTAGAGTTTTGTAAGTTAGAAATCTAGTAAGTATGAGTTTTTTCATGTGGACCTTATTATGTACACTAGTTACTCAGTAATAATTGAAATTGCCTCGTAAGACTACTTCCATTTTTTTATATTATTAAATATTTTAAAAAACGTAGTCTTACTCATGATCCAAGATTTTTTTACCACCTTACAACTGATCTTAAGGTCAAGCATTTAATGGATAACTGACTTAATTGAACTGACAAGTGAGTATCAAGGAGAGAAGACATCTACAAATCAGAGCTCTCAAATATTTTATAAATGTAGGCATAAAAATAAATGAGGTCTTACTTTTTTAGTGCCGTCTAATTTGAGCTTCGCAAGTCACTATCCCTACATAAGTTCATTATGCTGAGTAAAGTTTTATCGTACCATCTCAAAATAGTTAAAGTCTTGTATCGTTATAATTTTTTTGTTTAATATCTGAATTTCCTTACGTAGTAAAAGAAGTACTTTTATTGTGAAATATTATCCCACACTGTAAAAACTTTGAGTGAAATTTTTACTCCAGTATTTCATTCTATACTTTAAAATTTAAAATAATAAATGTATTCATGACACTAAAAATGGGTAATCATATTTTTTTAAAAATGTATTTTAAAAGGTCTAATACTGGTAACTAAAATTGTCCAGATAAACTCATAATACATTTGTATACACAAAAATCTTGTATTAATGAACAAGCAATTTGATGGTTCCATGTCACTTGAAAATATACATTATAGCATACATAAAGACCTTAAGCCATGCGTTTCTTTGGCAAGTCAAATTAATGTTTCAATATGTTTTCAAATAATTTCGTACTTAAGAGTACGCATCTTCATAAAACCAGTGTTGTTACGTATTTAAATGACCTACCACAAAGAGTATTCAAAATTTTACATTTTTTATTTTCAACAAACTTTCGCAGCTCAAAGAAATAAAATAATGTACCATAAAACGCAGTATTCATACAAAATGAGTCTTAAATGTTAAACATAATAGTGAAATCGTAAAACTTTACTGTGTTTTTTGGTTTTTACCAATCAGCTGACTTAAAATTTTATGTACTTTTAAAAAAATTCTTTTTTTTTGGTTTATTGAAATACCTAGGGTAACAGTTGACAATCTGTTTTTAAAAAAGTAAAGAATCATTTGTGTATTGTAATACTATAAATAGATCATTTATTTATAGACAACATTCCAGTCCAAAAAATATTAGATCATGGGAATTGGTAACGTGTAGAAGTATTTAGAAACCCTTACTACAAAGAAGTTTATAAAGATAGTTGCAATTAACTTTTAGTATAAAAAAATTTTAATCCTGTGTAAGGAAATATGTTCTNTCGTGTACATCGTAGGTATTTTCACTCATTTTAAAGTTTTGGTTTTCGAAATTTAAACATTCAGTTTAAAAAATAAATAATAACGTTGTCATCTGTAAAAATGAATAAACGTTCTACATAAATAATTTGTACAAAACAAAATCGTTTAAAGAAGTTCACTCGTACACACCTTTTTGACGCATAACATCAGCTTTGTTATAACCTGTATGACTATATACAGTACTAACAGTAGCTGTCAAAGGAGATTTATTGTATTCACTTATATATTGCTCACTCTACAAGCCATGAATAAAGATGAGACTGTAGCTACGTAATCTTTAAGTTTTTAGCTATTTTCAAACAAATTTCCAATTAAATCTTGACGTCGGTTTTCCAGATATTACAGGTTATGTATCAAAACACTACTTATTCTCATAAGACTGCACGTTGAGATTTAAAAAAAAACATTATCAATATCTCACTTTATAAGCTATAAAGAGACTTGAAATTCAAATCGAAAGTTCTTAATACACTAATTTACCTCTATTGTAAGTATTATCAATATATTGACGTTAATTCTCTTAGCAAGTGAGCTTCCTTAAAGAAGTTTCTGCTTATATTTATATATATATTTTTTTATGTATCTGCAGGAAATGTTTGTTAGAAATAATATTAACAGCAAACAAGAGACCTAAGAAGTAACAAATCACTCTACCAGATAAATCACTGCTTCTTAAGAAACCCATGAAACATAAGGAAAAAAAAAGGTAAAATAAGAACCTCATATAACGTTACATCCAGTCTTAAAACATTTATATTTTAAAAGTAAGCTCAAACTTTTGTAACATTTCTTAAATACTTTTGCCACTATTCGTCATTATTACATTAAGTTTTATAAATCTGAATTGCATACGTATTTTACAATATAAAGTCATAGTATGCATAACAATATAATCTTCATTAATAGCATCGACCCTCTAACAATCTAAGAAAGTTGTTTTTAATGCATTCCCCTTTTTTGCGCTAAAATAACATTGGACTTAGTTTGTTTTATGGTGTAGAAAATTTGCACGCAGTTATCATGCTTGATAGTAGAAACATGCACGTAATACCCTACCCTAAGCTTTGAAATGGGAAAGCTGTTTTTACGAGGACATCGAATCAACAGTTGCACGATCTATGGTATCGATGAGCAGCTTTCCCGCAGGCACTGGAGACGTATTGTTTAAAGTAACGATGTGTGGCGAGGTGGCAGCTATCTGATAGTGATCGGGTGATGTTGGGGTCTTACATGGTGACGGACACTCTATTTTAGTCGCATGATGATCCTCAAACAAGTTGCTTTGGTGTTGCTGTTGTTGTTGTTCATGCTGCTGTTGAGACAACACGTCATAATAGATGTTTGACTGGTAGGGTATAGTGGACATTCGGCTGGTCTGAGGCTGAGTGCTGAATAGGCTCGAAGCATAGGTAGTCTGATGAGCTACTCCAATGTGACTAAGTCGCAAATCGTTGTAGTTATCTATTAAAAAAATGTTTGCGTAATGTATAATTTATATTATTGTTACTATTGTTACTATTATTTAACTGAATTTAATGACATTTCAATGTACTATATTTTTTAGCTAAGCGTACTTAAAAACAGAAATTAAATAACAAACCTGGATCTATTTTAAGGATGTTATTATTGTTGTTGATATGGCTGTCATTATTATTATTATTGTTATTGTGATTATTAAGGCTGATGCTATTATTAACGCTAGAAATGCTATTATTGGCGCTGATTGTGCACGGGGTCGCAGGGCCAAGGATCGAAGTGTCACTGGTCTTCATGTTTTTGTTCTTGCGCTTGCGTGTCTGTATGGTAGGCTTTTTCATGGCTAGAGGACGGGGAACGCCATGTAGCTTAAAATAAAGTCCACAGGCGTTGCAAACTGCATCACCTTGGGCGTTGCGTCGCCAAAGCGTGGTTATCTGCGTGCTGCAGTTGCTGCAAGTAAGGCCAACGCGTCTTGATGCCTGTTGAGCAGAAAAGGACAAAAGCGATACAAATGGGTTTGTCATATGTGTCACTAACAGGTTTAAAACTTTTCAGACATTGTAACCATGGGGAGTACTTATATCAGTTAATTATGTTCGAAACCATAGCTGTTTTATTAATGTTTTAAATAAAGCAACGACTTCGGAAAGGGTTCGAAGACTTGTAGTTTTTAATGGGTTTTATTGCTGCAAGCATGGCTGTAAGCTTAGTTAATAGTATTATTAATTTAATACTTTAATAAAAAGATTCGAATAACATTAAAAAATTAGTGTAAATTGATTAAACGTTTTAACATTGTGGTTGCAGGATAATATAACAATCAAATGACAAATGTAAACATAAATAAATTGATAATAGGAAGACATTTCGAATTAAATTGCGAATTTTTACAAAATAATTATAAGTGATACTTGTATAGTTATTTCACTACATAAAATTATCTCATTAGTTTTGACAGGCTTAATTATTACAGACAATAATATTTCACATCAATATTTGCTTATTTAAGAAAATCATACATGTTTCATTGATGATCACATTTTTAATTTTATAATGTCGTACAAAACCAACGTAAATAAATGTGAAACTAATTAAAGATGACTGTCAAAAAAAAGTATATTTAATAAATTAATAACATTTTGGGTATAGTGGCGCCATTATGATACGATGGATCATACATTAATGCTAAAAGAAACCACTCGAAGAGAAGCTCAAAGGTTTGATGTAATATTGTTTCGATTGTTGTATTTTCTTATTACATGTTCAACAAAAAAATGTATATTTAACTATATTATAAAGAAATTTTAACTCTTAAAATTATAGAATACATTATTATTTACAGCTCTATCTTGAGTAATTTGTGTTTATTTTACTTAAGAAGTTTTTTTAATTCCCATCAAAGAATCCAAGTACAGTAAGCACACCAATTTTTAAATAATGTTATGACAATTGCATTTTGACAATATTAACTAAAACAAAGCATAAAACTATTAAAAAAAAATTAATCTTCGTTAAAAAGATATTTAGCCAATCAGAACTTTGAATCATATAAGGTCAAAAAAGTTGATGGTGCCTTTTTAGCCTCATTAATAAATGTCCAAATACCCTAAAAAGTAGTCGGTTGCATTTTGGATGTAATTTTTTAATATGTCATGCATTTTTGAAGGAAAAACTGTTTAAAGTTGAAAGTGTTAAGCTTTGTGCAGACACAATACTTTTTGCTAAATATTTCGAAAAACGCCAATAACTCGAGAATGGAAGCACGCAGCAAAAAATAGCTTGCACCAACCAAACACAAACAACAAATATGATAAAAAAATATTTTTGTTTTATTTTGTGTCTGAAACTTACGAAAATTGATCCAGATATTGTTCACGTAGTTTTGTCAATTCGACACCGGTGGAGAGAAGAGCAAGGAGGAGCTTTTATATATATATATGTATATATATATAAGAGTCAGAAAGTTGCCATAAATTTGGTTTATTGCATTAATTATTATAAAAAAATGTTTGACAAACATCTGACAGTAATTTTTTGCAGTGGGGACACATTTTCTGTGGGGGCCATTTTTGTGCAGTAGTAAAGTTCCAATTCTGTCACAAATGGCAATCTCACGTGGCAACTTTTTATTTTACATTCCTTGGAATAGGCTGGTATATAGTATAGACCAAATTGCACATTTTATATTGCAATATAGACCATAAACAAAAGAGAGGATCTCATTGTGAGTAAAAGTGGCGGCAGGTATTTTTTTACATAGTATGAGCTTATCACTTAGTCTATTAGCAACTATAAAATATAAGAATGATTTACATGCGTATATGTGTGTGTAAAAGTATTCCTAGACTGTATATAAAAGCAATGCCTTAGATCCTGTTACGGCTATTTTTTTTCACAATCATGTTTATTAGACACCACAGAAAAAAAATATTGTTGTTCCTTGTGTGTACCCTGGTTAAAATTTCGTTTCAAATATTATTTTTTTAACGAATCAACCCAAGTTGTTTATTCTCAGAAGCGGTAGTTTTCATCGAATAAGTGTCATCGTCTCTGAGGCTGCTTTGCGACTCGAGGGACTTGCGAAGCAGGGACTGAGAGTCGTTAGGTAGCTGCGAAGCAATGGTGCTTATGTGGCGTATTCTATTTTTTCTACCGAGAGCATACCATACTCTCTAACGCCCGAAGTAGGAAAAGAATATTTTCAATTTCGTTAGCATATTTGGAGCAAAAAACTAATTTGGATGTACACACATTAGCTCCACAGTTTTCAAGTTATAAGTTTTTAAAGTATTAATAAATATGAACTGAGTAATTTTGGAGCCTTAATACAGTGTTTTCATAGAACTTTTTGCTAAGGCACACTACGTAAACATTAACTACAAATTTTTCTTTACAATGTTCAAAAAATTAAAATTTCGACAAATTAGGAGATATTACATTTTTTGCATTTAACCTCTTGTTCGTTTAGCGCGAATGCGTGTTGCCTACGTCCACGCTTGGATAACTATAAGGTATTTTCACTTCTGACGTCATCATGCAAAATGGCGAGGGCTGGGGCACAAAGTTTGAATTCACACAATAAGTTTAATCGCGACTATAAAATGTATTCAGATGTTCGAGTTACTCGATTTGATTACAAAAACTTCTCTTTCTCACGAGCTATCGAATGGGTATCAGATATACGGCATTTTTTCTTTACAAATAAGTGAAATCGATAAATAAAGTTGTCGTGGGCAAAAAGTAAAGCCGGAAAGCAATTTTTTATATCCCTTTACAAGCATCTGATCGCAATATAGCAACAATCGACATTAAAAATTTTTACTGCACGACATAATATCACGTAAATAGCCTAAAACTCAGCTCAACTAAAAAGTGTGGATTGTTTGGTTAGAGTGCGAGTTACTCCTATACCTATATATACAGTATCAGCTCACGTCAATCACATCGGCTGCTCACTGAGACTGAAAAGTTCATGTGCTTAGGTAATTGTCACAAGTTCGAACATTAATAACGTCTAGTCCAGAATCGTACTTTACATCATGACGTTTATAAATATTTAATTGAGTGACTCTGAATGAATCTAACCTACAGAACTTTGTAGTCATGCGTAGTAATTGATGCGCAGCATTTGGTCACTAAGAGATTTATTAAAAAAAAAAAAAAACATTAATGTAACAGTGAAACCTTTGTCGTTTCAATCGCATTATATGCTGCAGATGAAGATAGAGTAAAATTGCTTCAATTTACATAAAAAAACATCGAAAAATGAGAAATTTAACACAGTCAAAAATTTCAGTGCGCAGTAATTGAATCATTCACCCCTAGCATACTGTGGACACGAGCATGAAACTGAAGAGGATAAAGCGATATGTACCAGCACTTATGGTATCAATTAAGGAAAACCTAGGGGGAAACCAGAGTCATCAGGTCTACGTTGTCTGTAAGTATCTTTCAAAACCTAAAAAAGTGAGCATTTTCTGATGATACATAAAGAGTTTAACATGTGTTAATTTCAATAATAGTAAATACCTTAAAGGCAGTCCGGATATGGTGAGAGTTTCCTGCCTTATTCATAAAGTTACTTAAACTGTAAGGCTGTATATTGTGATTAATTCAGCAGCTAGTTACTTAATTCAAAAATAGACGTGCATTTTTGAGACTTTAAAGAATAAATCAAACCCACACTTGGCAAAATTAATGGAGAATTCAAGGCACAAATTGTAAAATCAGATATTGAACTGAAAAGGAACTTTCTCAATTTTTTTCTTTACATTAAACTATATCTCACCAAAATCAAGGTGTATTAATATATCACGGTGATTTATTCTTTCGAGATTAAAAAATGTGTCTACTCGAGTTTTGTAAAAATTACTTGGAGTAAGTTACTTACGCAAATAACATCAACTAATAGAATAAGGCATAGTATATTACTTTGCATAAATGAGTTTCCTACTCTACTAACCAACAGATATTTTATGTTACAACAACCAATTGATTTGGAATACTTTCATGTCAGAAAAATAGTAGACGCACATTTCTGAATCCACAAGGACTAAATATTGCTTGATTTCGGCGAGCTTCATTAAAATATAAAGAAAAAAAGTGCTACATGTGAGGTTGATTTACTTTTTTAAGTGTCAAGAACGAGTATCTACTACAATTTTTTTGATAAAATATTAAGCTGCTGAATGAATTACGTGATAAAGCTATTATACAAAACGATATACAAAGCTATTACAAAATGCAATTAAAATAACCTTATTAAAAATTGACATGGGATTCAAAGGCACTTATAATTAAGTTTTCTACGACGCTTAGGCTTTATGTTTCACCTAAAAATGCTGTAATTAGTATATATTTAAAGATGAACTACGTAGATTTGCTGCTACTGGCTTCCCTCCAGGCTTCTAACTTTTGCTACGGGCTTGGGACTAACTTTTGCTACATATCACTTTTGGTCCCCATTCGCAATGTGCAGTAATCTGTAACAGTGCCACCTGCATGAAAAGAAAAAGGTGATTAGGTGGTGATGCTGGATAGCACGATTACATAGCCTGTTATGGGCTGCAAACTTTGTTAATTGTTTTTCGTAGTTTTTATGTATTTTTAATACTTCAAGTTTGAATTTTTAGTGTTAAGAATTAGTATTGAGCAAAAATAATTTTTTGATGCATTATTTTTAATTAATTTTTTTGAACTGTACACTTATAGTTGTTATCTATTTAAAATAAATTGTTAATACTAAAAATCGATACTTCAAGTTTCAAAAATGCACTAAAAGTACAAAACAATTATTAACAAGTTTGCAGCCCAAAAGAGGCTATGTAATCGTGTTACCCAGCATTGCCTCCTCCTTCCCATGCAGGTGGCTCTGTTTTATATTACTGCACCGAGCGAATAGTTCTATTTATTGTTTTAAACAGGAATACGAAGTTTAATTAAGACTGAAATATGACAAAAAAAAAATTAAAAATGATTTTAACATTCAAAACAAAAATTCAAAAGGCTTAAGTCGCTTCAATCTCCAGACTACTCATAACAGTGTACTCCAAAAAAACTTTTTTTTCTAGTGGGGGACAAAAACATAACATTTTTGTGTACTCCTTGATATTAACATACACACACACACATGCGCGCGCGCGTGCCTGTATTTGTGTGCCTGCTTCTATTTGCTTACCCCTCTGTGCTGGCCAACCTTAGTGCTGCGACAGCGTGGTGAAAAGTAAGCAGCTGTTTGGTGCCACTTGTCTTCTCTCTGTCATAATGTTATTTGAAAAACCACATAAAATTTATTTGGAACGTTCTTCTTAAGACTTTTTACCCATCGAAATCGAACATATATGTTTTCTTATGGCACTTTTCGTGCCCTTTCGATTCATACAAGTTATTTCTCGCTACGAGCTATTGTTCTCGAGTACTAAGCATTTTTAAGGAAGTTTTGCTAAGAAACGTTATTGCTTTCAAAAGTTTTATAGTTGCAGATTTTTCCAATTTTCCCGTAACCAGCATAGTTATTTATGTTACTGTATCCAAAATGCAGCTGACCATTTTTTTGGGTAACTTCGGACTTGCATTTATTATGTGGCAAACATTTGTTAAGGTAAGGAAGAATTATTTTTTTGTATGAAACTATTTAGTAAGAGATAATAGTACACGTAACTGTAATGAATAACAATCAAAATGAGAAAATACATAAGTGAATGGATGCTGATTAGTACAAAAAAAATAATGATGAATCAGGGAAAGAGGATAACACCTACCACACGCTTGCTTGATTTCTCTTCTGGGGTGCGAGGGACACCACTATACCCACAGAAGCCTTTGGGGTATTCGCCCTGGTCCGCCACTGAAACAGACATGAGGCCAAAAATTAGAGCTGTTTTTCTCCGAGTCTGAATATTTTTTTTTTAACTTCATCGATTAAACTCTTTCTTTTTTTCTTTTCTTTTCGTTTCTTTCGATAAAAGCTCAAGCTTCTTATTTTACTTAACGTTACTGCGTCGGCCTTCTTTTTTTTATTTAATTATTAATTAACTGGATGATTTTTCGCATGAGCACTAACATGACAAGTAACCTTTGGGCCAAGGGCGAATATCCACAGAGGCTCCTGGCTGCCTTTCCATAGGCAAGTATGAGCAATAGTTGTGACCCAGCCATTGCTCAATGAATTATGTGTATTTCAAACAGTACTATTTATAAAATTCTGAAAACAACTCCATACCTTTTGCTCTTAAGACTCAATCATCAAATATTTCTTAAGGAATCTTATTTGTATGTGGTATTTTTCATAACAAAAAGAAAAAAGTTAAGAGACAGAAAAATGTGGGGTCGCATTCATTATTTTATATCATTGTCATTTATAACCAGGACTGGGATTACTGTATCGCTCCTCGCTTACCATGCGCTTTGATTGCTTAACCAGTGGCCGATTCATGCCGTTCATCTTGTGGTAAAGGCCACAAGCGTTGCAGAGGTAGTGACCGGTGCCATCCCGCCGCCACAGCGGCGTCGATACCGCCCCACAGTTCACGCACTCGCGGTTCTCCGCCTCGATGATGTGTACTATTTTTTATTTTGCAATTATTTGTTAAAAGGTCTTGTATGGCGAGAGGTCTTGTATTCTTTAAAAATCAATATACTTTTTTTAAATCAATATACTTTTGTAATATCTAAGAGACTAGTCTTAATAATGTAAAAGTTTAACGAGACAAAAGAGCAAAGTTTTTTTTTTTGTGTAAATGGGAGGCACTAGTCTTCATTCTTAACAACTCATTTTTGTTTACTACATGTTAAGTTTTCAAAAAATGAAAATAAAAAATTGTCACCTAGTAATTCTTCACAGCAATTCAAGTAGTTTTTAATTTTTTTGTAACGTTTTCCATTATTACAATTTTAATAGTAACTTATATATTAAAATTTACAATATTTATTATTTAAATAAAAGTCTTAAATATAACAACCAGTAGAAAAGTTAGAGGCATCCTATACAATTAGTGTTATTGCGCTAATACCTCACATGCGAAAAAATTTTGATGCTACTTGGTTAAAGTGACTCATTACAAAATCAAAATACTTAAAGTTTAAATGAAACTTGCAGGCAATTGATTCAGAAGAAATCACTTAAAATTTGATGCTTAATGTGGTCTCTTATTGGAGGCCATTTAATCTTGATGACATTTGAAGTAATATATTTTAACTTATACTTCAACTCTCATTACATAACTAGGTACTAAAAAAAAATCCGGAGCTTTTCGATGATATCAAGAAAATATAGGCTCACCAGGCATAATTATATATGGGCTTATTAATTAGGTGACTGTTTATGAAATGGAACAGTTTATTTCAACTGAATAAATGTTACAAAGAAATCCTGATATTGGAATGATAAAGAAAATAAGTCACATCGGGCATTGATTGGTACTGCAATTTTTTTCTTCTTCTTTGTATTATAAAAAACTTGTAACTTGCATTAAAACTAATATCAAAAGTTTCAATAGCAAAAGGTTAATAAATAAATGTTATGGTTGTCCCTAATATGCTAACGAAATTTTAAGCCGATTGGTTGTAAAATTTTTTAGAACAGTGGAGTAAAAGAAAAAGATTGATCCTTTTTAAATATAACCCTTTGAAAATTTTCTAAAAGCATAAAGCTATTTTGTAGTCTCCATTATTCGTCAACATTAAATATACCGTTTACGAAATTTAAGTAAACAATGATGTGAGAAGTTGAATAATTATTGTTAAAGAAAGGAGAATTGGCAAAATGGCTCTGTAATTTAAAATAACTTCTAAAAGTTGACATCCTATAATCATTTTATGGACATATTGAGAATCACATAGCTTATATTCTGATCTCATTTCATTATCTTACATATTGTCAGACGTGACTTGGTTCAGTCAAGACAGCGCCCACGTATTGGCACACTGGCGTACAACTGACTATACAATAGAGTGCATCTAAGAGTGCAATTAAGGACGTTCGGTAGTGTTAGCGGGGGGAAACATTTGCGCGGTGAGGGGAAACCAGCGATGAATGAAGATTTGGCAACGTCGTACGGGTCTTAAATGTGTGAGTGTTCATGTACACGCATCAGGTGTCTCTGCACACTCTACACTGTCTGCTCGTCTGCTGCGTGCTGCGTCGGTTACGACAGCGTTCGTGTATCAATGTTTTTGTGATAAAGCTTTTAATTTTAATATTATTGTTGATAAATTTATGGAAGGTAATGATGGTTTAAGATCGTTTCTAATAAATGGGCAAAGCCCTTTAATCAAAAGAGCTACCAGTGTAAATAAAATACTTGAATTTTTAAATGACTTGACAAGTCTCATACAGCATGGGATGTCAGATAAGTAGGATGATTTCTAAGATGAGTGATTCAAACTATGAGCATGTGATTTTGTAATGTGCAAAAAAATTGTATCTTAAGAAGAAATAATAAATTTGAAATTAAAAAAAAAAAATAAATAGCGTGTTATTAACATTTATTGTTTTTTATGGGAAGGGGTGGGCGTTCTGTACATACACTCACGCACACACGTAAGCTTGTATTTTATGCGTGAATGCATAAATATCTACAATAATATTGAGATATTTACTGATCAACATCCTGGAACATTTTGAATTTCCCGCCACTTGCGACGTTGCCGTTGCGTTTCGGTCGAGCTTTTATTTAATTTTTTATTTATAAACGAATCAGACGATCGTCGCAAAACTTGGTATACATCAAATTAATAACATTATCTGTAACATATAAAAAAATTGGCCAAATTCACTGGCCCAATTTGCTTAAAACTGTGATTTAGTCAGTTCTCCCATAAGCGACAGTGTTAAAATGACTTAACTTTGAAATTCAATATCTCGAAAACGAAACAGAGGAACCTCTTTAAATTTTGACTGGTTTATTGTAACAACAATAAAAACGTCTGGTCAAAATTTCAGAAAAATTCGTTGGAAAATTCAATCACTACCGAACGTCCTTAATACAGCCGCTCACGGTGGCGGTCATTCCTAAGCGTTCAGTGAAAAGTCTTACGAATCCTTAGTTGACGGGTTCGAGCCCCTGCTCCGTCTTTTTCGTGGAACATTTCACTACAATATTTCCGACTCCTTAACCCATTTATTTAATAAATCAGAATTACCTGCTCCGCATCTACACTAGAATCCCCGAAGTTTGTTCCGTAACAATATAAAGTATCATTCCTCATTTCCTCATCAGGTACTTCATTCATTTTTTTTTATTTTTTCGGCCCAAGGCTAACAAATGACCTTTTTTGATTTGCAAAGTTTGTGACAAAAGTATAAATATAGTGCGTCATGAGCTTATCACTATGCGCCTAATTCAGGTGCCACCCCTGAGTGATACAAGTTTTTCCTCAAAGAGAGCACCAGAATATACGGAGCTTTGCGGGAAATTCTTTTATTGGCTTATAAAAATATTATTAACAGTGAATTGACCGAATAAACTAGTCATTTGAGTATATATATATTATGTTAATAATACGGTGATAAATTTTGTTTGGTGTTGTTCCGTATCCAACGAGATTGGAAAAAATGAGAGCATGAACATAACTTACCTAAGTAAATGCATATACATGCTAGCACTAGATGGCATTTGTCCGTTAGTCAAAACCTTAGAGCATATACGTATGAAGGAAGCACGTAATGGGATAACGTGAAGGCAACTGAAGAGAGAGAAAGCAATAAGTTTGGGGTACCCCACTTTTTAACCCTTTTCTCCTTGTTCGTTCGCGATTGGCTATCTTTTGACTATATGTATAGGTATAGTAGTATTTCATTTTGAGTAAGTGCCATCTGCTCATAATATTTACATTAGTCGAGTCAAAAGTTTAATTATTGTAAGTATCATAGTGAATAGCTAATGTAAGTGTGATTTTGCAAAAGTTTTGGTGAAAAAAATAATAACATGAAAACGTGTTGCGTGACAACGTGTAAGCTCAAAAGTTATGACTTAGCAGCTAAAAATATAACCTTTTACAGGTAAATACTTATGTACACTTTCTTCAAAAGTTTTAGTATTATAATTCATAAAAAAATAGAGTTGCTTATGAAATATATGTTATTATATGTATAATATTTTAGCGCTGGCAAAGATAAAAAGAGAAGAGAGCAGTGGGCGAATTGTCTAGCTATTCGTTGTCAAATAAAAATGACGAACAACTCTTTTGTTTGCAGTCATCATTTTGAACCAAAATTCATTTATACTTGTGGGCTTCGCAAAAATGTTAGACTAGTATCATTACAAATCACGCTTGTATTAGCTATTTACTGCGATACTTACAATAATTAAACTTTTTACTTGACTAATGTAAATATTATGAGCAGCTGGCACTTACTCAGAGTAAAATACTACTACTATACCTATACGTAGAGTCAACGGAGAGCCAATCGTGAGCAAACAAGGAGAAAGGGGTTAAAAAGTGGGGTACCCCAAACTTATTGCTTTCTCTCTCTTCAGTTGCCTACACGTTATCCCATTACGTGCTCCCTTCATATGTATATACTCTAACGTTACAACACACTGCTTGATAAACATAAATACTAGTGTCAGGTTACGTTAACTTTTACGCCCTGCTTACAGTGGAGACAGCAACCGACAGCAAAAGTCAGCAAAAGTTGTAAGGAAAGGTACGCAATCAGCGCTACTGGCTATTGCTGATGTCTCCTGACTCTTGGTTTATGTAGCTATAGTTTTTCTTCTTTTTTTATTCATCATCACCCGTAGGCTCAGATATGGCATTCTTATACACAAGCATAGTGTTAATTAGCCATTGGTGCACCTGAGTTATGACCAGATGTTTATATACGTATGTAAACATCTGGATCAACTCAGTCACACCTATGATCACGTAGATGAAGCGTCAGAGAAACAGTTAATCGACCTTCAAGAATCAAGAGCACAGGCGAAAGGGCAAGACCCTAATGGTGACCAAACGGTCACCCTTCCAAGTACTAACCGCGCCAAATGCAGCTTAACCTCGGAGATCGACGGAACTGCAACTCTACCGTTGCGCCACCCCGACCACTTATGTAGCTATAGTTGCTCCTCTCTTGTACATAGGTATACAAAGTAGTATCAAAAAGGAACACCATTTGCTAGGAACATGAACCAAAAGTCAGGAAACAGTAGCAACTGTCAGTGGCTCTAATTGCCTACTTTTCCTTAACCTTTGCCGACTTTTGCTATCGGTTGCTGTCTCCACTGGAAACAGGCCTTTACATATTAATATTATATTTTTATGAGATTACTTATGTTTCTCAAGCTTTACACGAGTGCAAGCATACATATGCCCTTATACATGTGTTAACACAATTGCAATCCATGTTCTTACTCTTTCTCATGTTATAGGATTCCCAAATATAATATCAATATGTAAAAGTTTATTAAGTACCGTATCATGACAAATGGACAAATGTGATCTTTACTTCTGTTTCTCAAGCTTTATACAAGTGCAATCATGTCTAAGAACTTTTATCTATTGTACTTCACAGTCATAGTCCATTTTCTTACTTTTTCCAATCTCGTGAGATACGTAATAAC